CAGGTGTGAGAAGGTATCTGGGACTTTGGGGATTCAAGAGAGGATGAAGGTAGGGCTGTGTCAAAACATCTTAGCCCCTTTTCCACCAAAGCATTTTGAGAGCCGGTTCAGAGCCGGTGCCTGCGCGCGAACCAGTTCTTTGTGTTTCGACAGCCAAAGAACCGGTTCGCGGCTGGGAAAACTGGTTCCAAAGCGGCACCAACTCTTTGCTGGACTAGAACCGTTCTTTTAGCACGTCATGCTTACGTCGGGGGCGGGTTTTAGATGTGTTTTAAACATATTTTTTGACCATCGCAAAACCAGGAGAAACTGCAGAAACGCGCAAGCGTTTTTATTTATTTTTTATTTTTTATTTGAAACGTAAGCAAAGAAGTAAACAGTCACGATATAGAACAAATAAATGGAAAGAAAAGACACAAGACAGGGGTAACTTATCAGAAAAGATTACATATCAAACGAAAAGATTAAAAGACTTGCATATTTCAATTGTTTTTAAAGTTTTCTTGGTACACGAGTTCGAGATAATCCCACTAAATAATGTACTTGCAAGCGTTTCTAGCGACGTGTACAGTGACGTAACGACATCGTTCCCTGGGCGCTCTAGTCAGTGGAAAAACAAACAGGTTCTGAACGGGTTCGCAAGTTGAACCAACTTTGAACCAGCACCAGTTCCGAACCAGTTCTTTTTTCGGTGGAAAAGGGGTACTTGTCATCTCTGGCAGCTCTAAAGGCCAATTTATACTTCTGCGTAGGGTGCGCACAGTAGGTACGGCGTAGCATACGCACAGACGCGTCCCATACCGCGTACCCTTCGCCGTCGCCTGACGCGCACCTCTTCAAAAATGTAACTACACGTCGCAACGACGCGGACCGCAAGATCGGTGATTGGTCGGCTTGGTAGCATCGCATTTCCTCCTACGCATTTCCGCACGTACCTTCTCGCGCATTTCCACCACTGTCTATGATTTCCACACGTTTCATCTCCTCCGACGTCTTCTGTCATTTCTGCCTTTCAGTTTTAGTAATTTTTCACTAAAGTTAACTGTTTTTCCACCTCAATAAGCTCCAACTCCAACATGATCAGCTCTCTTTCAGTCGATATTGCTTGTACCTAGCCGCGAGGAATCTAAACGCAGTGGAACATTAAAACCCTCCGCCGCCAACTAGTGTTTTGGAGCAGTACTGCAGAGCAACCAAGACCTGAACGCAGAAGTATAAATGCTCACAACGGCGTCGCCTACGTGCGTAGCCAACGCCGTGCACTACGGCGTACCCTCGACGCAGAAGTATAAATTGGCCTTAATGCAATTTATCCTGATTTAACCTTTCTTTGGTGGGGTTTTGTTAAAAGGTTCCATTCACTTTCCTCCCACGTGACCGAGGGGATTATGCCCAGTTTTGGGATTTGGAATGCCACCCTGCAGCCAAACCTCAGCACAAGAGCCGCGTTCGCTTCCAGCTGTGCGGCTCTGTAAGTCTCTTGAATCCAGTGCTCTGTAGTTTCTTTATAACCATACTAACCTAGAATCAATAAGTAATACAATACATGGGTAATCTAATTGGGAATGGCAGTCTTTCACAGTTTTTGAGTGTGTTAATGTTTGTGTGTGCAGGGCATAAGAGCAGGAGAAGGAGCGAGTGTTAAAGAAAATTGCTCGTTGGTGAAAACGGAAGCCACTGTGAAGAACCGGAAGAGACTGGAGTCTGCAGGCTCAAAGACCGGCGGGTAAGACGGTCTTTTTCACACTGAAGGACTACTGACCGTCTGTCTTATTAACATGCAGAACTCAACGTTCTAGATTAGATTAAGATGCAGATTGTAGAGAAAGATTGAACTTTCTCCTTTTCATTTTTCAAACATTTCATAGGGCATATTTCGCTGTTTCTTTAATTCATTCAGATCTTCAACTGAGACCCAAAAGAGGGGAGTGTATGCACCCCAAAGTCTGTACACATTTCCTGCCACGCGTGTGGGCGTCACCAGCACGCTGAAGGTTAACTTCAGAAATAACTCTTTCGACACACATGAGGTGAGTGTTATGTTACTACTTTTGAAGGTCATTAATGTGGCAATATTAATGCGGTTTCTATGAGGAGAAGAATTCACAGAGCAATTATTTACCTATAAAATACATTAAAGTCCTAACAACTTCAGTCATATTGCATGTTGATGTGTGCAGTGTTATAATTGCTGCTCCTAAATGTCTGGCATGAGACTTATTTTGAGCTTTTCTAATTAACTTGCAGCTAAAATTCATAAGTCCTAAAGAGCCTTTCCACATCAAGCATTCAGATTATTCTCTAAGGTGAGTTAAATTTTCTCTTGCTTCATATCTATTAGTAGTAAGTATTACTGTTTGCTCAAGCCAATTTAAGAAATAAGCAAGTAGAGATTTTATTGAAGCGTTCCATGTCACTTCCTGCTGCCAATGCCTGATGTGAAGGCTCTGAATCTGAGCTCTGCCACAGGTCGGCTAGATTTTTTAAAATGTTTTATTTGTAGCATTGTGTGATTGTGTATGTGTACTTAATGTGTGTGTGGTGTTAAATCACTTTTCATTTGAGTTTGCTGCACCGTATGCATGTGTTTGTGTACTAAATGTTATATATATATATATATATATATGAAGAGTTCAGATGCAAAAGCCTCTAAATGCCATTTGAAATTTTCTTCTTTAATGATGATTTTTATCAAACTTGTATATTGAAGTTCAGTAATTTCACTTAAATAACAATTAATAGGTAATTATCATTGCCATTTAAGTGAAATTACTGAACTTAAATATACAAGCTTGATAAAAATCATCATTAAAGAAGAAAATTTCAAATGGCATTTAGAGGCTTTTGCATCTGAACTCTTCATATATATATATATATATATATATATTTTTTTTTTTGTATTGTGGAATTCATGTTCAACATTTTCCCATGCGTCTTTCTAGATCACAACACTACATCAACCTCCCTGTACAGTTCGTGCCGGCCACTGCGGGCCAGTTTTTCGGCACGTTACTCGTACAGACGGGCACAGACGCTAAACTGGCCATAGAACTCAACGGAGAAGCCTTGCCATAAAGACCTGCTCGACATACCGCTCACCGCCAGCTGAGGCCACTACAAGATTAAGATAATAATGAAGAGACATACTTGAACCTTTTTCTTGTAAATGTTTTGCAAAAGAATGTCAAGCTTTGTGTTTTCCCCCACCCTTAGTTTTTCTAGTTGTCAACTATCTTATACTTTCTTTGGATATAAGCACCATGCAATATGGATATTATATATCCAGCATCACTTCTCCACTTTTGTCATCATTTGTATGTTTGCCACGGTTTATCACCTTCGTATCACTGATGTAATGTTTTCTGCCTTGTTGTAATGATTTGTTTCATTTTGTGTAACTATTAACATGAGCTCACCTGTTGATAGAAGTGTTATCACAAAATGAGGCTGGACTAATATTTTAAAGAGATTTGAATCACCATTAGTTGAAGATTGCATATGCTCTATTCAGCACAAAATTTTTTTTTTTTTTTTTGTCTGTCGTAGGTATTTATTTTAAATCAGTTCTTGATGAATAAAAAAATAATTTTATTTATTGGTGAATTGTCTTCCACTAATGTGTATCCTACCTTTTACTATGTAATTTATGCGGGGCATCAGTTAAAGTTCACCTAATTATAGCTTATGACATGTTAATGTGACCCCGCCCACTGAGAGCGCGCACTGTTCAAACGCTAATGTTGAGGCAAACTAATCAACTGTTATCCAATGCAAGCTAATGCAATGCACATATCAAAATAATGAATCCTTAACTTTGAAATATGTATTATAAAATGTAAATGGTCTACTTTAAAAATATGGAAATAGAATTTCCTTTTCAAGATGTTTCCAACTCTAACTTTGAACCAATTCTACACAATTGCCCATATAACCAATTTGACCAGGATTTGCAGCTATGACTAAATTTTTTTTTTTTTTTTTTTTTTATATTGTCCTTTCAATTTTTTCTTGTCTGACTCACCTGAATGAAAGGCTCATTATTATTGCAGGTCTTTTGTTTCTCTCAGGTGAGAATCACCTAATTATACATGATATAACAATATAACCCAAATGACAGTTTTATGTGAACGATTAGGCAGGATGATTTTCAGGTCATTGTGAAGAAAAAACTCTAGGCGACAACATCCATTATTCAAAAGTCTTGTGGACGCTTATTTCGTATGTGTTTTGTGGCCTTATTTCAGAAATTTTCTTTTTTTTTTTTTCAATAACCACGCATAAAAAATATTATCTCAAAAATACAAACATGTACATGTTGCTCACATTTTAATGGTTGCCCTGTTTGTGCTAAATAGAGTGTAATTTCACCTGTGCCATTAATATGTTTATAAGCAACTTAAAAAGCACAGATGTCAGGGCATGTCAGAACATCTCAAGGACCCCAAATACACCTTGGTCCTCAGAGGGTTAAAACCTGTTCGCCTGAACTTTAACTTTGAAATGTTTTAACTGATGCCCAGCCTCTTACTTCTCAAACCTTTTACGTTATGCCATTCTATGGGATCGTGCTGGGAAAACAGAAAATAGCATTGTGCTTTACGAATTACCCATCGCTTGTTGGTAAATGGCGTGTACCACAGATTGCTTTGCCGATTGGCAAGGGGGTGCGTTTCCCAACACTATAGTTGCTCACCTGTTAGAAACTTGTTGGTTGGCAATGGGAAATTGCATTGTAACCAACAATTGGGAAACGCACCCCAGTTTGAGATCATCCATCTAAAACAAGACACGGATAGCTGCAGGTTGGAGTAATGGGTGTGCCGAGAGGTGAATTTCTATAAAAGAAACTAACCTTAACCCTGCCCTACACCCTGACAGACCACTTTCGCGACCAATTAATAATTTTCTCTCCACGCCTTATCCTTCTTCACGAATCAAACTGTCGTCACACCCATTATTAGGCTATGTTTTATCAGCAGTAGGACAACAAAACAAGGTTATTCGCAAAATGCATTGAGTTTTATTTACAGTTCCATAGTGTATCATTACCATTTAAAAGTAAGTTTTGAAAGTTAATTTGTTACGATGAAACAGAATATTAGTACCGCGGTTTTTTATTTAAGCAAAAACAGAGATCATAAATAAAGGGCCTGAATTGTTAACATTTCATTATACACAGGCCATAATTTGTGCAACTCTTGCCAACTTTAAAATTCTTCATACGTTTTCATAAACAATTACTTAAATATCATCAGATGTCTGGAATACTTGGTATCCAGGCTAATGAACTGGCCTCCTTATTTTCCACAAAAATGACGTTAGTAGGCTAATAAAGCAGGGAAAATGACATTCTAGATAGCTCAGTTGAGTAGTTACAAGGTTCAGTATGAAGAACAGTTTAGTCCATGATGGGATTGAATCCATCAATACCCTTGAGTGTTTCTCATTTCAAGTGTTCTGCCTGAAGAGGAGGGTGATGAGGAGCAGAGGTAGGACCATCAGCCACCTGTGCAGTGAAACGCTGGCGGCTCCACTGTAGTTACACAGGTTACCGTTACAGCATGTCACCTGCACTCCATCTCCATTGCTGTCCACAGAGGCAGATGCAGCAGCACTTGCGCAGATTTTTGAATAGGAGCAGGACTTCACAATGGCTGTTAGACTTCCTAAAAAGACAAATACAAAGTTATCTACAGTAGTTTTCCCTCTACCATGTTGAATAGTTGTTTATTTTTTTTTTTACCTCTTGAACTTTTTTCTTTTCTTTTTTTTTAGCAAGGCCACTTAGTATAGCCTAATTCTAAAACTTCAGGTTATGGTACTATGAAATCTTTAAAGGAGTAGCTCACTTTTGAAAAAACTTTTGCTGATAATTTACTCACCCCCATGTCATCCAAGATTTCCATGTCTTTCTTTCTTCAGTTGAAAAGAAATTAAGGTTTTTGATGAAAACATTCCAGGATTTTCTCCATATAATGGACTTCAATGGGAACCAAACGGTTCAAGGTTCAAATGAGAGTTTCAGTGCAGCTTCAAAGTGCTTTAAACGACACCAGACGATGATTAACGGTCTTATTGAGTGAACTGATTGGTCAATAAAAAAAATAAATAAAAAAGTTTAAGTTTTATAAGCTCAACTGCTCGCCTTGCTCTGTTCTGTGATGGCCGTTCGTGACTCTCCTGTTCAAACTCGTTCATCAAAATGAACACATCTTTTTTCAAGTCATGACTCGAAGGGTCCTATAAGACCCTTATTCATCGTCTGGTGTCGTTTAAAGCCCTTTGAAGCTGCACTGAAACTCTCATTTGGACCTTGAACTGTTTGGTTCCCAATGAAGTCCATTATATGGAGAAAATGAGTGAACTACTCCTTTAATGATTTTTATGGGATATTGTAAATTAAATCAGTAGAACAGACCACAAATGCAGTAGCCTAACATGGGTGATATTGTCTTTCTTTTTTTTTTTTTTTCTTTAACAGTTACAGTGGAATGCATATAAGAGAACATAATGAGGAAAAGAACGCAGGGTTACATTCTTTTTTCTTTGCATTCCGCAAGTGTCACTGAATGCAGAGACTGATAAAATATCTTGCCATAGATATTCTTGTGTTAGCCTATATCACATATTAAAGTGTCAAACGTCTGAAAATAAGGGGAATTGACGGTTCATTCTGTCACACTGGCGGATAAGGATCATTTGTAGGGCAAAGCTTATTTGAAATGTTTCGTTTCAGCCTTTTTGTTTATGTTCCCCAGAACGGGTGCCTCTTCCTGCTTCATATCTCTTCCGATGTGGCGGTAAATGTTTTGTTTTTCTTGTTGTTTCTCTTCTCACGGCAGGCTACATTACAAGCTATCAGAATTTCATCTTACTGTTTTTGTTTGCAGCTGCAACAAATTGCTTATATTTGCTCATGTTTGGGCCTCTTCAAATGAGCTCATTTAAGTCATAATATGAGCCATAAAACCCAGATGTATTATATATTACAGACCTCGGATAAAAGAAGTTTGGCAACATATTTTGTGAGTGTCTTATCTTACTTTCATTTTCATGGACTTTTAGGGTATGTACCACAGTGATCTGAGGTAATGTCGAGGGCATGTGCTCACCTTTTGTGCCTACAGTGGTCATACAGGTGTCCAGAGGAGCCTGGCAGTCCTGAGAGTTTTTGTTGCAGTCTTGATTTGATGTCACAGAGCCACACATGTAACACTTAAGCGCACTTACTGCAAAAGAACAAACAAAGGCTGTTCTTAAAGAAATACATGAATTTATGTTATCAATATTCAATTGAATTGTCATTTTTATTATGCAATCTAACAGTTGAAATTCACAATAAAGAACACTGTATTCTAATATTTCACCACCTTTGAAACTGTTAGTGCTGGAAAATGTTGTTTAGTTTACACAATACACATTCAGGTTAGGTCGGGCTAAATATGGGCTCTATGCACGGCGTTATTTCCGGTGAAGCATTAGGGATGCTCGATAACTTCCGCCGATCATAGAGTCCAATGCAATACCGAGAATTTATATTGAATTTTATACTCCATGGTTATACTAATGAAACGTTAGTCACAAAAACAGATAAAACAGACACCCCTCGTTGTGTTTATGCTTCTTTTTAAAATTATATTAAATAAACATAACTATATATAAAATTACATCTAAACGTATGTACGTTTCGTTTCAAAGACGGGAGGACAGTAAATATTGAATACTCTGCCATAATCCCGTTTTCTCCGGTTTTCCTCCGCTTTAATCTACACAACCGGAAATGGACGAGCATACTTACGTCAAATGCGGAACTTATGCGTGCATATAGCCCATTAACAGTCACTTACATAATCATGGAAAGGGCTAGAACATATGGTAGCCTACCGTTTAAAAGTTTGGGGATATTTTTCTCTTTTTTTGGAAAAACATTATACTTTCATTTAGCAAGGACGATTAAAAATACTGTTCTTTTGAACGTTCTATCACTAAAAAAATCCTGAAAAAGTATGGTTTCCACAAAGTTTCCGTTTTAAAGTGATTTCCGATGAATCACGTGACATGGAAGACTGGACGCTTTGCCATCACAGGAATAAATACAACTTTCAAATTTATTAAAATAGAAAACTGTTATAACATTATTAGTACTGTTGTAATAAAATTATTAATATAGTAATACTGTACACAATACTGTTTTACTGTATTTTTAATCAATTAAATACAGCTTTAGCAGGGGCGGCTCGCCCATAGAGGGCGCTGGGGCGCCGCCCTCCCTCCGACCTGTCTGTCTGTTTTTTTAATATATATTATAATTTATCATTTTGAAAAATAATCTTTGTTAATTATATGCTAATAATGGTTTTACTTTGAAAAGTGTTTTGAACTCACCAGAATGATATTTGCATTCACTTTCGTTACTTTTATCATGTTGGTGTAGTAGTATAGCCAATAGGCTGTCTTCTCAGGGCGCCAGTTCGCTCAGCCCCACAGTGCTGGAATTTAAGCCAATGGTTCCCCGGTTGCTATGCAAAAAAGTTTATATTTCGCCAATCAGCGCCGTCAAATTTTATGGTTTGGGGGCGCTGAAAATATCGCCCACAGTATCAGATTAGGGGAGTGCACCGTGCACGCGCACCACGGGATATTTTTTTACCTCAGATGAGAGAAGAATGGCAGCGCCAGTGACGTCGAGTGGAAATAATGTAAAGTTAGTCGCTCTGTCACTCACTCACTCACTCACACACACATAAACACTGTTTCACACACATTTGATATTAAAATAGTTATAGGAATATTAATACCTGTGTGTTTGCTTTGTTTTTGATGTTTTTAAGTTCTGAGCTAGATTACTGTGTTTCATACTAGTTAAAATCAACTTTCTTCTCATACTTGGGTGTTACAATCAAGAATGTTGTCCCACCCTCTCTTTCAGAGCCTTTTCTCTCTCTCTTTCTCTAGTATCAACACATTGTTATCCATTATCCAATTGTCAATTTGTCAAAAATATGTAGTCTACAGCTGGGGATTGATTAAACTAGATTGTTGTATTACCTATTTTTTTTTTTTGTATTACCTATATTATAATTTATCAATATTATGCGTTTGCACTTTTTCTGTCAGCACACAGAGCATAATAAACATGCAACTTGTTCATTATCATTAACTGTCAAACTGTTATTGTATTATTTGACCATTGGTATTGACTGGTTTAAGTTATTTTATTGGTATAGGTAAGGGCATGGCCTAAGGCCTAAAATGCACCAGAATGCAGGAAATCACATCTACTAAATTCAAAATTTTCTGGGGGGGAACCCCCAGACCCCCCTCTTATTCAGCCCCCCCTACAATAATTTTCACCAGCCGCCACTGAGCTTTAGTGAACATAGGCTATATAACATTCAAAATTCTACAGACTCGAAATTGATAATATCAATCCTTTTTTAACCATACATTAATTCTTACCACTGTTTCGAAATAGCAAATGGATTTTCATTCAACCACAAAATTAGACAGATATTACAGAACTGTTCTTTCAAAATGGATTACAAAATATTAACCATGAAAGCACGTTGACAATCCAAAATGCAAGCAAGTGAATGAAAAGCCATACCTGAGTGTACAGTTAGAAGTAAAAAGAGCAGACTAGAAAGAGTCTCCATGTTGCTGAAGCACTGTCTGCATGTGTGGGAGAAGTTCGCTGGGTGTTTCTGCTTCTGACTGAAACTCACTGTCTCCTCAGATCCACCCATGCAGACATTCCTTCACTTGTCCTTTAGAAAGAACAAGTGAAAGAAGCCACACGTCAGCACAGCTGGCATTCCCTCATACTTTTGGCCTTGTGTCACATTGTGCATTCTTACACGACAACTGTTAGATTTGAATTTTACAAACAGAGCATTTTGTAGTCACGGGTGATGTCATATCCTTCTCGGCTTTACGACTGAGACGTATTAGTGTAAGAAAATTCAGACGAATCTAGACTGACTTTAGTGAAAAATTCAGTAGCAATTTATTCAATCATAAAATACGAGGGCACATTTACACTCTAGCTCGAGTCTGTAAATATGGTTTGTTTATCTGATATCATCATCATGGTGTGTACAATATGTTCCCTCCCTTCTGAGTCCAGACTAAACAGGTCGGACTGCTTCCTCTAATGGTTGAAACTACCACAACACAGATAAAAATCATGTCCTTTTTTTTGTTTAGGCAACAAGATGAAAAACCCAGAAGAAAATAATTCTGTTGTCAAACTTTAATAAAACATTCTTTAAAAGTCAGATAAGATATAGTCAAACAAGATGTATAGTTGACTTTTTTCATGTAAAATGACACTTTCATAATAAACAAGACCAAATAATGCACATGACAGACTGATACTCTTTAAACATTTGCAATAAATACTGTACTGAAGCTTGCTATTTCAGAAAATGAAAATGTCAGTACCTTATCAACAGATTCATTTCCTGTTGAAGTGCACAGCATGTCAAAAAGGTTCTTCTGTGTATTCAAATATGGTTCAAACAGAAACTGCAAAGCAGCTAACTCAATGTGTTTCAAAATCTGTAGAATGTGCATTTCTGCTCAAAACCACTAGTGAGTGTTATTTTGGACCTTTAAAAACAGTTGTGAAGATTTAGTAATCACAGGTTTTGCCATTGCAGTCATTCTTTCAAAGGACGTAAAAGCCCAGGTGGGTGTTGCTGTAGTTTTTTTTTTTAGAGCTTACATCACTGTAATTGTTGGATGGATCGGCCTGAGTGAATAGTACACACTGATTTAGTCTAAAGCAGGTGTGCTCTGCTATTCTCATCAGTTCTGGCTAGTTCAAGTAGGTGTAGATTTTGCAGCAGACAGCAGGAGGCAGGATCGTTACAAAAATACACAGAACTTTCGACGACTGTAATGCCCTTCTTCAGTGCTCTAGCATTTCTCCTGTATTGCATGCATGGAGAGCGCAAGCTGTCAGAGAACGTCGCGGACCCTTAGTCTTCATGTAGCTTTCCTTTGGGTTTCTTCCTGTGCGACGCCCCGAAATCACGCGACCTGGACTTGCTCACTGGATAAATCCTGAGGACAGTGAAATTAACATTTGTTAGCCATGGCTAATAACTGTCTCCTCAATAAAGACTGGAAAACTACTCTGTCACTGTATCAAGTTAAAAGCTACTGGTAATGTCACGTGTATATTCAAGCTTACATAGGCTTACTAGTTACTACCATTCAAAAGTTTGAGGTCTGCATTCATTTGATCAAAATTACAGTGAAACATGTCAATGTTGTGAAATATTAGGCTATTACAAATATAAAAAATATCTGTTTACTATTTTATTCTATTTAAAGGACCTGTATGCAAGAAATTTATTTCAAATTATCCTAAAATTGCCCTGATATCATGTTCATTTCAAATACTTATATCACTGACAACTAGGGTTGGGTATCGAGAATCGAGTATCGATTGGAACCGAGACTAACTTTTCGTTTTTCCCGGAATCGTTCAAAAGTTAAAATTTCAATTCCTAGTGTTAATATTCACAGTCCGCCAAGCGGAAGAAGAAACCGCTGAACAACACCAATGAAGAAGCGTCTACCGGAAGTGTTGGCATAACCACGCGAGTCGAACATGAGTAGCTTACGTCGGCGGTCCAAAGTGTGGCTTCACTTTTCTAAAAATTAACGAAATCTCGGCAAAATGCAAAATTTGTGACAAGTATTTGTGACAGAAGGAGTATTTCCTTCAGAAAGACCGTTGGTTAGCAAGGTTAGCTAAACTTTTTTGACCCTGCCTCTTAAAAGAATCGAAATCGAGAATCGTTAGGAACCGGAATCGAAACAAGGAATCGGAATCGGAATCAGAATCGTTCAAATTCAAACGATACCCAACCCTACTGACAACAGTAGTCCAGCCAGGATATTGTCATTTAAAAAGTGAACTGATGTTGATGTTGTCATGTTGTGTTTTGGTCTGATGCTCCACCCTCCACCGATCAACCAATCACGAAGTCAGTTGTGTTGCAGCATTCGGGTTGCCAGCTCTGCTTAGTGACCACAGTTGCAGATACAAACGTGTTGGATAAAAAAAGTCAGGAGGGAGGGGATACACCGCTCTACAGTAATTTTAAAGTGATTGCAGAACCAATTTTGGCCACAATCTTACATACGGCTCCTTTAAAATGTAATTATTAAAAAAAATAATTTTCAGCAGCCAATCACATTATCCTTCAGAAATCCATCTAATGGCGCTTTTCCATTACACAGTACCAGCTCGACTCGGCTCGCCTTTGTTTGGTTTTCCACTGTGTAAAAGTTGTACCTGTTCCTGCTTTCAGGTACTTTTTTTTGTACCACCTCTGGCGAGGTTCTGAGCGAGCTAAGGCGATACTAAAATGTCACGTGAAAACAATGCTGACTGCTGATTGGTCAGAGAGAATCGTCACCATTCACTGCGTCATCATTGCACGTGCCAGATGGAGTATCCATAATAACCCCGCTATTTTTAAATAGTTAGGCCAGAGACAGTTACTAAACTAACTACTATTATTATGGCAACTCGTAAGAATACGCCGTGGTCAAACGAGGAGGTGCAGACTGTCCTTTGTTTGATGGCCGAAGAGAGGATCCAGCGATAGATTGATAGGGCAACGAGGAATGAAAGGCGTCGCTATGACTACCGGGTACTATTTTTGGCCTGGATGCCAGCCCGAACTCCGCCCACAACATTTTTTGGTCGGGAAGTTCGGTCTGGACTCGATCCATTGAGGAGTAATTATGATCAGGCAAAAAATGATCGGGCCAATCAGATTGCCAGGGCGGGCTTTATACGATGATGGATAGATGATCTGCAGGGACGTAATCATCACGTTATCAAAGAGCGCTAACGTTAACTGGTTTCCCTCAGAGATGACTGCAGCTGGAGAATTGAGATGTATAGATTCCGCTGTCGCGTCTGTTTTTAAAATTAATCGACAGGCCATTAATTTTAATAGACAAACAGAAAACTGCAATCAAGGCATTTGTCGATCGAAAAGATATTCGGCAAAAATGTGTAACTTATCAGCTGGCTCTGACGGTCGCTAAGTTAAGAAGATGGGATGTAATGAAAAGCATGTGGTCGTTGTGGTTTCTCCTTTGGTCGCACTCATGAAGTGAAAGAAGCAACACTCGTTATTTTACTTCGAAAATAAGTAAGTTCTGTTGTTGACAACTATGCTATGCAAAGTATTTGACTGACTGCGTTGCTCTGATTGGTTGTAGGTCTCTCCGACTATCCAATTGAGTGCAGAGTTTTTTTTTTTTCCTGGTTCGGTTAAGACACGCCTCATAATCAAAGCCTTACGGAGCGGTCTTAGACTTAGAATATTATTCTGACCAGAATATGAGTATGACGAAGTCAGGCTAGTCTGCAATGGAAAACGGAACGAAAAGAGAGCCGAGGCGAGTCATGCTGGTGATGGTAATGGAAAAGCGCCATAATATGCTGATTTGGTGTTCAAGAAAGGTCTCTGTTGCTGTTGTAACTTCTGTCACCTGATGGATGGAATGAGACATGGTGTTGAAGACTGACACTAGGGGGCATACTTGGATTCCTCTGATACTTCCGAAAAGGTCAATGAGAATTGACAAGTGGAATTTACATGCGCCTCTCCCCCGGACATATGGTTATAAAAGGATCTGGCGTGCATCCACCACCAGGGGAAGGAGCTTTGAATTTGTTACCTCCTGGGAAAGAGCAGATCCTGCCATCCCTGGGTCACCCGTCTCAGGGACGCTTCAAAGCCTTCTTGATGTTCTTGTCGGGTCGCCTGACGAGTGGGCTGTGTTGCTTTCCAGGGAGCAACTCGACTCTGAAGCCTGGCTGTGGGCTCCGGCGAGACTTTGGTCACTCTGAGAGTGAAGTCAGACGCTAAGCGTAGTTCCTGCATCAATCCTGACAGAAGTACCCTCGTGCAGCTCTTTAAGAGGTTTAGCCAGATGGACCTGCAAGATGGCCATGGCATGCAGGGTGGAGGTGCCAGCAACCGAAAGCCTTCGCTGTTACAGACAAAGTTAACTTAAAAGCCCTAGAAAGGGAGTCTGGTACGATTTCGCCAGGTTGCATCATTTTGCGGGCATAAATGCATCGCAAATGCACTCTCCACCTGTGGAACCTCTGTATACCCCTTGGCTGCCCCACCGTTGAGGGTAGTGAGGGTGGAAGAGCTTGTAAAGCGGAACCAGGCTGTAAAAGGTTCCTTCCTTGACTTTGTGAGCTCTTCGTGCACTTCCGGAAAGAAAGGTGCTGGGGCGGGGCGCAACTGTGAGCCGTGCTCCGAGCCCAGATACCAATCCAACCGATAACGGTTAGGACAGGACAGGGGATTCCACTCTAGCCCGAGGCTCTCGGCGGCCTGAGCAAGCATGGCCACCAATTCAGAGTCACACTCAGACTGGGCCACCGTACCGGATGTTGCGCCATGTGACGCCACATCAAACTCATCCGGGAACTCCACAGGAGGCAACATGCAAGGAGAGGAATGGGAGGCCTGTGGGGATTGACCCTACGGAAATGCTCCCGTTGTTGCCCTCATATATCCCTTAGTGTTAGCCGTCGAGGCCTTGTGCATTGCAGAAGGACCAGCGCTGAGAGTGGCTGAGGTGACACTCTCTTTAGCCAGAAAATGAGTCGAGATCACAACTTTGACCCCCCAGTGTCCATCTTCGACACCAGACAGATGGAGAACATTTCTTTCATTCTCTTGAAAACAGTTGCTTAAATGGGACATATCATGCAAAATCCACTTTTTTAGCAGTTAAATGCATTTTGTTGTATATTTGGAGTGTTCATAAGTACAGAAAAGATGAAATTATTCTCTTCAGGTGCTTCGTTTATATCTTTATATTCTGTTTTGGTCATATTTTTCAACCTGTTCAGATTTTTCTGTTCTCTGTTACATTTTTTGAACTATCAAGTCATCGTATTTGCAGCGGAACTGACAAATAAGGACATTGACTATCGGCCCAACACTTCGAGCAATCCGCCATTATTATTTCTCGCTCCGATTTTGTA